CTAATGTATAACACGGTGACTATAGTTGATAACACTGTATTGTATCACTGGAATTTGCTGACAGAATAGAATTTAAATGTTCTCATCAAAGATTTCCTTTAAAAAGGTAAATATGTGAGGTGATGGATACACTTGATGGGGAAATCCTTTTAGTGTGTATGCATATGAAATCATCACATTGTACACTAAATATCTTACGGTTTTGTCAGTTATACATCAATAAAGCTGAAAAAACCCAGCCCTTTATTATATCTCCCAGTTCTGTGGACTGGCTGGGCAGTTCCTGCACAGGCCTCCCCTGGTCCCTCATGAGTTTGCTGTGAGGTGGCAGCTGGGGCCGTGCTCCTCTCTGTGGTCTCCGTCTACACGTTTCCTCAGCGCATTCCTCCACTCAGCCTACAGGAGGCACTTTGTGCCAGGCACTATTCCAGGTGATGGGATACACTATCGAACAAGACAAATGAGGGCCAGACCCTCGTGGAACTTACATTCTTAAATTCTTACCTTGCAAAGAAGCAGCAAGTCAACTTATACATTATAAGGTGATGTAGGTGGGGAGGAGGTCTGAGTGGTCAGAGCAGCTCTTCAGCATGCCATATGAAATCTGGGGGAGAAAGCATTTGCTGGTGCGAATTTCCAGGGCCTGAAAGAACCTTGGGGGAGGGGCGGATTCATTGGAAGGAAAACCACAAAGGCTAATAATATATGTGGGGAGTTGTGAGGATGAGAATGATCAGATTAGGTCACAGAGGTAGTCAGAGACCAGGTCATGAAAGGCTTGAAGGCCATGGTTGAGGCTTTGGATTTCATCCTCGGGAAGCAATGGACAAGTTCAGAAATTGTATTGATTTTCTTGTTCAAGAGATCATTCACCTTAGAGAGAAGATGGTAGGTGTCAAGCGTGAAAACAGGGTGACTCAACAGGTTATTGAGTAGGTGATGGAGGTTTGGATGAGGGTTGTAGCAGTAATTATGGGAAGTCAGTAGATTACAGGTACATTTTGAAGGAATTTCCAAAGAGCATTGCTGATGGATTACATTTAGGGAATGAAGAGAAAAGGGACAACATGGAGGTCTCTCAAGATTCTCTTTTGAGCAGTGGAGTGAACAAAGTATCAGTTACTGAGGAGCATGGCTGGTGAAAGAACAGACTTTTAGTGTTGGGGAAGGCAGTCAAGAAAATTTAAAGTTCTCTTTTGTACATGTTTAAGTATGTTATACCCACGCAATAATCTGTAATTGAACTGTGCGATTTAAGGTTTATCCAAATCTGTGCAGAATAAGCCATGCGATAACAAAGTGCCATATTATCTGGGAAATGAATAAATGATGTGTATTTAAAATATAAGTTCACTAAGTAAGTTAGTATTTCTGTTAAGATAATAGGTGCCACTTATTGAGGGGGTTTTCTTTGGATCATATGAAATTGCAGATATTATTATTATTTTATTTATTTATTTATTTTTTAAGATTTTATTGGGAAATTGGGGAAGGGAAACAATGTTGGGGAATTGGGGAAGGGGAATAGCCAAGTTGTTTTTCTTCAATCTTAGTTGTGGAGGGCGCAGCTAGCTCAGCTCCAAGTCCAGTTGCCATCCAGATGCCCGTTGGCTGCTTGTGGCCATTCAACTCAAGGTACCGTGTTGCGGGTAGGTGTAGTCCACCATCCCATGTGGGAGTCGAACTGGCAACCTTGTTGTTAGGAGCATGTGCTGTCACCAGCTGAGCCATCCTGCCACCTGTTGGCAGCTCAGCAGCAGCTCAGCTCTGGCGCAGCTCAGTGGCCCATGTGGAAATCGAACCAGTGACCCTGTTGCTCAGAGCTCACACTCTTAACCAACTGAGCCACTCGGCCGGCCCCTGCAGATATTATTTTGAACTTGAAAAACAATGCCATATTGTTCATCCCAGTATATACTAGCCACCGAGCTGTTTAGCTATAAATGAATGAATACTTCGAAAAACTCTCAAGGTAGGCTTTTTATTATCTTATAATTGATAAAATAAAGTTCTGAAAGAGGTTAAATAACCTACCCAAAGTCTGATGACAAGTAAGTAGGCAGGAGTCCAAGTAAGATCTTTGTGACATAGCAGCTATACTCTTAGCCACCCAGTTACAGTCCCCAGATTTCCAGCCACAGAGTCATGCTCCCTTCTAAGTGAGAGAAGTTTCAGATCCAAAATACACAGTTATACAGACACAAGAGTGCCTGATCTGACAGTCTGACCCGATGGAGGTTTGCTGCCGTGTCCCTCCTACAGAGAACCAGAGCCAAATCCAAGTGGACTTCACAGGCTGCTATTGCCTTTTAGAAGTAAATGCAATGAACAGAGAATCAGTGAGTTAACACTGTTAAAGGGTGCTCCAAAAATCCCCATCAAATTCAGTCCTTCAAGAAATTTGCAGCTTCTCTTCCATGTTTATCACATCTATTAAATACAATACAAGCATTTCTAACCTCAGAAAAAGAAAATATAAGGCCATAGGTTGTAGCATATCACTGCTGTTAAGCTTTCACCACTTGTATCAGATACCTTATAGCATCTTATTACTGTACTCTCAAGCATTCCTCAACACAATTGAAAGTGGTACAACCAATGAGCGAGATTCAAATGGAAATATGTCAAATATGTTATCGATTGTAGGAACTTCAAGCTTTTCTCCCTTCACACAGTATCTGAATTATCTAGACGTCATTAAAATGAAGACGACCTTCAGTTATCTCCTCTAACAACACCTGTGAATCAATGAGGAACTCTGTAAGTACAGAATGGCTGCATCGGTTTTATCAGTTAGTAATTAGCCGTTCAAGTCAAAGGCGGAAAAAAGTTTACATGAGCGAAAAGCTTTCTGTCTCCCTTCAGGAAGAATATTTCCCGCATTGATAGTGTCACTTACAGCTAACAGTCCCTTCATGGTGGTGAGCAGTAGAAATGGTCACTTGTCAATTAAGTCACATGCCTGCTCATGGAAAACTGAATTTTCCATTTTATAACTAAATGAATCTGTTCTTCAATTCTGTATAGATCAAGGGCTCTCTGAATATATCACCTATACCCTAAATTGGTCCAAAAACTAAGGGCAATATTTACTAATCTCTAATTTCTCCCCAGTTTGGGTTATTATTTTAATACTAATGAATACCATGTACTGATTCCTTACTACATGCCAGATGCCATACTATGAGCTTTACCAACACCTTTTTTTAAATTTATTTTTTATTTTTTTATTTTTTTAAAAGATTTTTATTGGGGAATTGGGGGATGGGAACAGCGCTGGGGAACTGGAGGAAGGGGAACAGACAAGTTGCTGTCCTTTAATTCTTTCGTTCTTCACTCTAGTTGTGGAGGATGTTGCTTCACTGGCCCAAGTTGGCACCATGATTGCGCTCTTCCCGGGCGAGGCAGATCAGTCGCCGGCTTCTGGACAGCCGCTCACTGTGGCTGCTGGCTGCTCACGCTGGCTGCTGGCTACACACGGTAGCCCATGGCAACCCACTGCAGCAGGGGCTGCAGCCTATGCCGTCTCCAGCAACTCACGGCAGCCCAGCTCCAGGTTGAGCTGTTGCTCAGCATCTTAGCTGTAGAGGGCAGTGTCACTGGCCCTCATATGTGGGATCCGAACCGGGGCCCTCTGGCGTCCCAGGCAGCTCTTAACCAATGTGCCACTTGGCCAGCCCAACACCTTTTTTTTTTTTAAGATTTTATTGAGGAATTGGGGGAGGGAACAGTGTTAGGGAATTGGGGAAGGGGAACAAACATGTTGCTGTCCTTTTGTTCTTCAGTCTAGTTGTGGAGGATGCCGCTTCACTGGCCCATGTTGGTATGATCATTGCGCTCTTCCCAGCTGGGGCAGTCAGTCGCTGGCCACTGCTCACGGTGGCACAAGGCGTCTCACGGCAGCTTCGCCGGCTGCCGGCCACTCATGGCAGCCCAGCTCCAGGTCGAGCTGTTGTTCACCATCTTATCTGTAGAGGGCGCAGGTGTCACTGGCCCATGTGGGAACCGAACAAGCAGCCCTGCTGCTCAGAGCTCATGCTCCCAAGTCAACTCTTAACCAACTGAGCCACTCGGCCAGCCCTACCAACACCTTTTCATTTAAATCTTCTAATAGCCCTGTGGGATAGGTTATGTTATCTTTGCTTTCATTCACACTTAGAGATGTTGAGTAACTTCCCAAGGTCCAAACTAGTGCAGAGGTAAGATTTAAATTCAACCCTTTTGGCTTCAAAACCCATGTTCTTATCCCCTATTATACACATGTTTGTTTTTAATGGTAGAGCTGATTACTTTGACTTTACTCTCAGTGGGGGTGCAGTAAATGGCAACGCTTGTATTATAAATGTGTTCAGAGTGCAGAATCTTGAACCCTAAAAACTGGCCATGTATGCTTGTCTTTTTGGTGATCCTTTGTTGTTTATGTGATTTTCATATTCAAAAATTTTCTACAATGAGTTTTCCTGAAACATAATTATTTTGTGATTGAAGTCAGTGTTTAGTCAGTCAATCAAATGTGTCTGACCACTAATAGAGATGGATCATTTAGTGATTTTCTTGGCTTTTGCAACAGTGTAAAAGACACACAAGAAAAACACTGTGGCAGGATAACCCTTCAAAGTATTAATTTCTGGGGCCAGCTGAGTGGCTCATTGGTTGGGAGTTGGCTTGGGAGCACGAACTCTGAGCAGCAGAGCTGCTGGTTTGGATCCCACATGGGCTACTGATGCTGTGCCCTCTACAGCTAAGATGGTGAACAACAGCTCTACCTGGAGCTAGGCTGCCTTGAGTTGCCAGCGATGGTGTAGGCTGCAGTGGAGCTGCAGTGGGCTGCCGTAAGCTACCCTGAGTGGCTGGCAGCTGGTGTGAGCTGCCATGAGTGGCCGTCCAATGACCGGCAACTGATCTGCCTCATCCGGGAAGAGCACAATGACAATACCAACATGGGCCAGTGAAGCGACGTCCTCCACAACTAGACTGAAGAACAAAAGGACAGCAACCAATTTCCCAATGCTGTTCCCTCCCTCCCGATTGTACACATAAATAGACAATGTCATAAGAAAATCAAGGTGACAAATATTCAATCCCCCTTTGCCCCCCAATTGTACACATGAATAGACACATGTCATAAGAAAATCAAGATGACAAATATTCAACCCAAAGAGCTACTGACTTAGAAAGATTCAGGTACATCCCGACAGAGCTTTTGCTCCCAGAGATGAGATAAAATGTGTTTTCAGAGCAAAGAGAGCAGTGGGCGAGAAAAGGCAACATGGAGAAGGCACATGGGCGAGAAACTCCATACCTTCTCTAGAGCCTGCACTGCTGCCAGCCCAGAGCCCAGGCACTGCTTAGAAGCTGAGACAAACTGAGTTGATTCTCTCATTGTCCTTTGGTAGGTTCCACCATTCACCAGTAGTCAACCCACTGCTCATCAGTTATCCAGTTTGAAGTGTCGCTTGCCTGTTTCCCAAGAATCTTTTCATATTCTTCTGATTGGTCATCTCTTGGGAACAATCCCCCATCTAACAGCCCAGGACACTCATAAACACCATTTGGCTCCCCTCTCTGCTCCCAGATTGGAGAGTAGAAGACTTGTAGTTTTTGATAGTGATGGTGGAGAAGGCTTAGTTAGACACTGCAGAGTGATGTTGATGACAGCTGGAAGGGAAATGTTCGGGCCCAAAAAAAGCAGGATTCTTTGGAATCAGTGTGAAATCATCCTCTGAGCCAGGATAGCAGAAGAATGTGCTACTCCACTACTCCGTTACAGCTAAGTGTCTTATCACAGGCCGAGAATGTTAAGAGCTGGGAGGGAACTTGGAGAATTTCTAGTCCTGCCCTTCCACACAGGAGAGGAGGCCCAGAAAGGAGACCTGAGTTGTTCAAGGTCAAATAGCTGGTTAATGGCTCAGGCAGAACCTGAGATAAGATGTCCTGAGTGAGTATAATTCTGTCTCCACTGCACAGCACAGGCAAATCTGACTTGGGAGCTCTTTCTTTGGACGTGGATTTTATCTCTGTGATCCTACCTCAATTTATGATAAGTTGAATGGAGGGTCCAGTTTCTAAGTTCTTAGAAGCCCAAATTCAATAGCTCACAGTGATACCAAAGTTAAGGTTTTGTTGGATAAAATTAGTGTATTGCCATAAGATGTAGTGAAGACGTTTTCTTTTTTAATGGTTGGGAGAGCATAACTGTTTATAGACAATTTCTCTTTTATAGAGACTATGAGACAACTCACATTAGCCCACAGGTGCCTGAAACAGAGTCGCAAAGAGCATCGAATTTCGTTGAGGAAAGTCCAAGCTTCTTCATGATAAATGAGGAACTGACCTTCTAATGCCTGTGTTCTTCTCATTCTTCCACAAATACTTATGTCACTAGAAGTTTTACAGGTGGAGAACGAGGGTGTCATCCAATGGCTCAGCATTTCTCTAATAATCACTTTGTAGTGTATATTCCCCACAACAATTTATCTTTGGATATTTCAGTGGCTTCAAGCCACTCACCGTTACTACATCAACAGATCTCATCAGGTTGCACTTCTTCCATGGGTTTCTGTTCCATTTATAGTTTTTCATGTCTTTAGAAACTTTGTTTTAGAGAAACACTAGTTTTTAGCACCACTTTATATATGCAGTGGTTTTAAAGCTTCTTTTTTTGTGACAGATAAAAAAACTTTGAATACTTTTCTTAGAGAGGGATTGATGGAACATTCAAATAAAATCTTTGCTTATAGCGCAAAGGGATAGCCAGGTACTAAATAAATTTTAAAAAACAAATGTTTCTCATAAATATTAAGTTGACTCCCAATGAACATTTTATACTCAATTATTAACATTTCACACATTGTTTCTGTCCAACCAATTTCAGAACTTCATGAAAAAGTTGAGTGGTAGGCTGGGTAATGGGGTAACACAGTGGGAGCCTTTTTTCCAAGGCTGGCATGTGAATAAAGTACCTGCAAATCATAAAAAGAAACAAAACAGAGAGCTTTAAAAACAAGGATTTTTACACTGGTCACATCAGTATGTACATGCTCACTGGCATAGGGTTGTTGGGTGAGGGAATATCAGCTACGAGGCTCGGCCAGCACGCTCAGCCCTCCACACGCCCCCATTTGTGACCTAAAAGATCTCTGAGACGTGTGTCTTTCAGCTCACTGAAGCACTTCCACCAAGGAAGTGCATTTCATTAATAATGTATCAGTCATCAAAGCATTAAGAAGGAAGCCAGGACTGTCCTCACCACAGTGTGAGCTGATGTTCCTGTTTCTTGTTTTCTCAGGCAATGCCCAGTAGGGAGTAGAAATTAAGGTGTCAAGCTCTGGTGACCACTAGGGCCCAGTCAAGAGGGAAGAGTGGGGTTCATCCCCATAACCTAAGTAAAACTTTAGGACAGGACAGGAGAATAGACAAAAGTGAGAAAACCTTTAGCCATCCCTTGGGATGGCTTAAAAAAAAATGATTCTCAACCCTGGGTGCACGTTAGAATTACCTGGAGAGATTTTTTTTTTATGTCAGTGCCCAGGTCCCACCTCAGATAAATTGGACATAATTTCTACATATGAGACCTGAGTATCAGTATTTTTTAATAGTTACTCTGGTGATTCTAATGCACAGCAAGTTGAAAATCACTAGTTTAAAACAAGAATCACAAACCTAAATGCCCACAGGTAACATAGTAGGAATAAGAGTAAGACTAGAAAGAGGAGACAGTGGCAAACTAAACAGTTTGTTATCACCTAAGAGGGTCGCTGCTATTGAGCTCTGGCCAACCATTGTCATGTGGATGTGTGACACCATTTTTGCCAGTTGTTCTGATTTTAAAATGTGCATAACTGATTTTTAAAAATTGGTTTATGTGATACATGCTACAACATGGGTAATCCTTGAAACCATTATGCTAAGTGAAAGAAGTCAGACACAAAAGGCTATATATTGTATGATTCCATTGATATAAAATGTCCAGAATAGGCAAATCCACAGAGACAGAAAGTAGATTAGATGTTGCCAGGGGCTGGGGTAGGGAAGGATAGGGAATGACTGCTTTAATGGGCACCAGGTTTCTGTGGGGGTGTTGAAAATGTTCTGCAATTAGATAGTGGTGACCGTGGCACGACATCATAAAATGTATTAAAAGCCACTGAATTGCACGCTTTAAAATGTTTTAAATGGTGAATTTCGTGATATATGAATTTTACCTCAAAAAAAAAAGTGAGGAAAAAATGGGGTTGTATGGACCAACTCAGAGTGGGCTAAACAAAACCCTTTTTTAGGAGCCAGAGTAGCACCGATGGTATAAAAGCACATAGAGGAAAAACAGGATCCACAGATTGGACTGAAAAGTTTTTAAAAGCCCATTGCGTGCTTCCACGTCCTTTTATGTCTCCATCCAAACTGGTAGCAGAGCTGTGGCTGCTGCATGTGCCCTTTTCATCTTTAGTCAGACACAGCCTGCTTGTTTCCCTTGCTAGGTGCTAATGCCAGGCTGTACAGCTAAGTGCACTTGGCTTTGCCTGCCTATAAATAGAAGTAGGAACCCCTGAGGTGCGAAATAGGCTGGCTGATGAAACCAGTGCCTGCTACTACTGCTTTTTCTTACTGCTTTGTTTTTGAGAGTAAGAGAGGTGTAAATGAAACAAACAAACAAAAACCCCAATAACCCTATTCATTAATTGTTTCTCCTTTATCATTTTTTTCCCAGCGACTCAGTTGAATTCACAACCCAGGATTTTTTATCCCTCCCCTTCAGTAGGGTTTGTTACTCTTAAATATTCACAGCATGTTAAAAATCATGACAACTTCTGTGAGATGTTGGCTGCAATAAAGACAATGAGTGAGAAACAGTTCCTCAAAGAGAGTTTGATGTTTCACTCATCTTTCCTGGCCTGGGAATAGATTTCAAATGGCCGTGGCTTTTAGACCTCCCCAAAACCCTACCTTACCGCAGATCAAAGTGAAATATTATTAAAAACAAAAACTGAATTTCCCAGTGTCACTTAATCTTCTAAACAGTGGGCCATGCTGCAGTTGTGCATGAAAATCAGAAATGAGGGTATTGTACTGCAGATGAGAGTCAGACTTCTCCTTACCTGAATTCTTCACTGTAGTCATTCCTAATGTACTCAGCTAGCGTCTTGCTGTACTGCAGACAGCTCTTGAGGATGAAAAGCTGCTGGTATAACAGAACTGTTTGGCTGGGACTTAGCAGCTGAAATGAAGCCGAAAGCCCCTTCACCACTTGCTTCACAATACTGGCCACAAAAGTAACCTAGACAAGGAAAATGCAGTTACATGTAGGCTGCATGCCGCCCATAAGAGCTCCTATTTCAGCTGGAGCCTTCACTAGAAATCTAGGCTGAAGCCCTCACCACCCTTACACCAATGTCCTTGCACTATTTTCATTGTACTCAGCACAAGACCATTCACCAGCTGGGTTTACCAGTTGCCCCTCTACAAGCAGGATCAGAACTAGTACTGACTCTCAAGGAAGTTTGGCTCCAAAGTGGAAAGAGAATGTCGGAAGCACAAGTGGAGACAGAACAGGAGCTCAGAAAGGTCTGTGGCCTCCTTGGGAAGATGGTTTCTCTTCTACTTAACAGGGGAAGAAGTTAATGAACAAGTGGCCCACAGAGATAAGCTGCTTGTGGCTTTCAAAGAAAGTTCCTAGGAGGCAGTGGTTCTCAAAATGTAGTATGCATAAAAGTCACCTGGGCAACTCACTAAACATGCAGAACCCTGGGCCCCACTGCCAGATATTTAGCATAAACAATTCTGGTGGATTTGCTCCCTGGGCCACACCTTAAGAAACACTAAGTGAGAAAGAAAGGAAAACCAGGCTTGACACAAACAAGTGATGTTGATGTCACTGTCAGCTGGGGTTTTCATGAAGAGCACTTCTCCTGTCATTTCTCAGGGGGAAATTAAAGTGGAAAAAGTAGCAATAATGTGAGGTTATTGGGCTCCTGCTTCTCACACACACACACAAAGCTGTAAGTCACAACAGAACCAAATATTAAAAAACAAGAACAATGGATTGCACAAGTTTGTTGGGATTTTTTGTTTTGTTTTTTTTTAGGGGGAGGCAGGGTGTCTCATTTTCAAACCACTATCCATAAATGTAGGCTACTATGAAAAACAGAAGGAGAATGTTAGTGCCTTTTCAAGCTATAACCAGCAAGTCACTCTGCACACCCTTTAAGTTAGTATCAATAAATGTGACACCTTTTCTAATGATGTTGCTATGGGCCCTTCCTAAATAGGGCAGATAGTTTGAAGTGGGTTTCCCTCAGTCCAGATCCATTTACACATATTGACTAAATACTGTGTCAGGTAAACACAGATTGAGGTTAGAGAGTGTGGTGCAGTGAAGCAAAGCAATGCCCGTTTGAGGATTAAAATTTTCATTTCTTTAGCATCGTGCTCTAACCAGGAAAAAGAGCCAGAGCTGAGTGACATGCAGGAGTAGTTTCCTTGCTTGCACGTTCTCTCAAATGGTCTGTTTCTACCCCCACTCTTTAGAACTGGGTTAATTTGGAAGCTTTCAAGTGTTAGTGGTTTTTTGCCACTCTTCATCCTGGCATGCTTTATGTCACAGACTGGCATTATCAACTCAATTTATTTAGTGATCCGAACCAATGCTAGAGGTTGATGATGAAATTTTCCTGTTGCTTGGAGTCCATAGGACCCCAGATTTCACACATCAGTTCAGATGATAGGATCTGCAACCACTGCACAAAAAAAGTGAAGGTCTTGCATCCTGCACATGTGAGCTTCTGTTGCTGTGAATGACTGTAACTTTATGACAGTCCTCGAAGTGGGCGTGAGACTGGTTAGGGTCTGTGTGCTGCTAAAGGAGCCAAGTTCATGGACTCAATCTCTGTACAGGCAGTTGGCTGTCCTACTGACAAGTGTACCCTCAGGCTCCAGCCAGGTTTTTGTAAACATATGTCACAGGGATCAGGTGAGATAATCTAGAGTCCCTAGGACACACTGAACATTGCTCTAGAAAAACAGCTTGAGGCAGGAACCCATTGATGGTGAATGGAGGCGTGTTTGTTCAATCTTCCATTAGCAGTGAAAATTTAGTTTGGATTACTATCTTTTGAAGAGATTTCCAATTAAATGTATGTTGACTTAATGTATGAATACATGAATGACTAAAGAGAAACCAAGTTTGGGGAGATGAGAATAGATTAAGGGATAAAGCTTTTATTAGAATTAATTTAGCTATTTTATTGAACATCTATTATGTGCCTAGCATAACAGACACAGCTCCTACCCTCATGGCACGTGCAGTCTGTTGGGGAAGAAAGATCAGTCATGATAGCGTAAGTTTTGCAATGGTAACACATCTCACAAAATCTCAATGTTTTGCTTAAAACCACAAAGACTCATTGCTCACACTGTGTGTCCCTAATGGTTCCATAGGGGGTTCTGCTCATTGTAGTTACTCAGGACCATATGGAATGTTGCCAGTCACTACGCCAGAAGGAAAAGAGAACGCAGGGAAGCATGCACTGGCTCCTAAACCTTCTGGCAGACATGACACAGGCTACTTCTGCTCACGTTCCTTTGGCCAAAGCAAGAACAGAGACCCACCTAACTTCAAGCGGGAAGGGAAGTACAATCCTGGAATCCTGTGCCTGGAAGGAGAGAGAGCTAGGATAGGTGTAGGCACTAATAGCTACAGTGGGAAAGAACCAAATAATAACACAAACAAATGTAAACTGCAACAGTGACAAATCCTCTGAAGGAAAGGAAGAGGCCATACCATGACTATGTGTGCCTGTAATGGGGGAATGTGACCTAGTCAGAGGTCAGAGAATCATCCCCCACCCCACCCCAGGAAGGGGCACTGAGGCCTGAAGGACAAGCAGGAGTTAACTAGGTGGGAAAAGGAGGGAAAAACACTTCACACACATAGACAGACAGACAAACAGATGGGTGGAAAAGGTCCTGTGATGGAGTTGGGGGTGTTGGGGGTGGGCAGTGAGTTAGAGACCCATATAGCATTAGGAGAGATTTAAAGCAAGGGATGACGTAATCAGATTTTTATTTTGAACAGGGCTCTCTAACTGTAGTCTGGTGGGAAGATAGGGACAGCCCATGCGGAGGTGATTGTAGTGTCAAGGAGAGAGATGCTGATACTGTGGACTGGGATGGTGGCTGCCAGGACAGAGTGCCCAGGTGATCCCGTCTTATATTCATACTCGCCGACTCATACTTACTGTTTAAGATAAATGTTCATTTTTTTCACTTAATTTTACAGCCAATACTTTAATATTCTGTTTTCTATATATCTATGGTTTTTCGTGAAATGAAGATCACATTAAGATGTCATTTTAGTACTTTCAGGCCCCAGTATAAAAACATTTAAATTAAATTAAATAATAAAATCAGATTTGCTTCTGTTTTATCAATTTGAGTACTTATAGAGATAATTTGTGTTTTATTAATTAAGCACTACAGCATCTGTTTAAGTTGCCTCAAGTGGTGGTTTTGTTTTTACTTCTCAGGACTTACTATGGGGGGACGACTTTGTAGAAAGGACATCATCCAGCTAATAGCAAACTTTGTTGATCTCAATCCAAGATTTCCCTAAGAGACTCAAGGAAATAAACAAGTTATATTCATGAAGTTCAAGTTGTACCTAAAAGGACATTCCTTCTCAAACACAGTTTTTTCCTTAACTAACCAAACCTTGAAAATCAGTATTTGGGAAAATGAGCTAGATGAGTGCTTAAGAGCAAAAGTAGTATCATTTAAGTCAACCAGTTTTGGAAACCATCTCTAATACAAGCATTTTTTATAAAGGTAGCTTATTAATCATACAATACATAATCATATACACATATAATAGTTGTATGATATGTATATATAATAACCACACAATATATTATGTATAATAAAAATATATTGTACCTGCTGAGAGACCAGAAGTATCTCATATAAAAGTGCTGTAGCTGTATTTGTATATTCCAGGATAAGCTTCTGTAACTAGAATTTTAAATAACAATCAATGCAATATCATTAGCAGAGCCAGAAAATGGTGATTTCTCCTGATTCCCTTTCATACTTATAAAATAATTTTTGATTAACTGAAAATTTAATTAGTGCGGTCAATTTTCCTGTTTTATTTGGTTCAGTCATTCTCAAAACAGTAACTTCATAAAAAGACTACACAATTAATAATGGCTAAGAAAGTGGGTTAAGGAAGAAGATACAATAGCTCACAGAATACTAACACAAAAAAATTTGCACACTTGATTTGCAAAATTATTCTGATCATCAGCTCCACTTCCTTTCAAAAAATGTAGAAATATGCTCCCCAGAATTAAGATGGGAGATTCTCTGGGAACTTTAGGCTTACGTGCAGGTTGAACTATAACTCCTTCTGTAGTATGAATAAATACAGGGCTTAAAGACATAGTTTTGCTCTCAAGAACTCCAAACAGTTGGTGAGGCTGTCTCTTAGCCCATATGTCTACTTGGTGCATGAGACTTGTGTCTGTGGGCATGCTACAGGCCAACACATTTTTCCTGATAGTATTCTTTGCCAAGGAGAGCTCTAGGTTGAAATCTCCCACTCTATTAGACCTTGGAACAAAAATGTATATGATCCTCTTATGGCTACACTGATAGCCCAGGTGCAAAAGATCAGCAAGTCCAAAAACATGAAACTTAGACCTATCTATTCCGCCCACTAGATATTTTCATATGGAAATACCATAGGCAAATCAAAGAAGCTAACCCCAAACCAAGCTCATCATTTCCCCTTTGACCCTACTCTTTTTGCTGTAATTCTTACCTGGCACCCAGGCCAGAATCTAAAAGTCATGTAATCTTCACACTTTATTTCCACATCAACCGATCAACTCAATTTCCTAAAATTTCTGGAATCTATCTGACTGACAACTACCATCCCTTTTCTTTTTTTCATCTATTTATTCAACAAATACGCATCAGACCCCAAACTAGGTGTTGGGGATGACACAATAGAGAGCAACAGAGACGTGGTCTCTGCCCTCAGGAAATATACAATCTACTGGGGAACAGACACCAAGGTAATAACCAAATAAATAAATGCATCGTGGCAAACTGAGGTAAGGGCTATGAAAGAAAAGTACAGGAAGTTACGAGAGCTCTAAAAAGAAAACTAGCCAGTATTACTCCGCCATAAAGAAGAATGAAATCGTAACATTTGGGACGATATGGATGGACTTAGAGACTATTATGTTAAGTGAAATAAGTCAGTCGGAGAAAGACAAATACCATATGATCTCACTTATATTTGGACTCTAAAAAACTGAATGGGCAAGGAAAGTGAACAGAGGTGGTCTCAGAGATGTGGGGGTGCAGTTGATGGCTGTTGGTTGGGGAGGTGGGGATGAGGGAGAGAGGGAGGGGGCTGAATAGCATAAATACGCAGCTGCAGTGTTGCCATGGGGACATGGGG